TTAAGGAGAGGAAGGCTAGAGTCTGGGGTTGTCAGGCAGCCCTGACATCACATCCCAGCGGAGCCCCTACCCCACCCAACCTGTGGACTCAGGCAGGCAACCAAATGACCCAGCAGATTCTGATGGGATTTGTCCGTTCCCTGCTGCGCCTGCCCCATGGTGCTGTAAGCGAGGCGCTGGCCTAGTTCCAGGAGCCTGTGGGACAGCCCCAGAGCATCTCTCTCCCCAGCAGGCCCCAAGGGTGTGTGCATGGCTCGTGCTTGCAGTCCCATATATGAGCCGTTATTTTTCTCCTTTCTCACGCGTGAGGGCTTCAGCCCTTGCAGTGCGGCCCCTTTTACCTCGGTTGTTGCACTCCTTCCTTCCCTGGTAGAGGAGGCCCAGACTGCCTCATTTCAGGGTCACTCCAGTGAGGGAAGTGACTCCCGGGTCCTTCTGGGCCTCCTGGAAGCCCTGCTCTGCTCCTGAGTTCTGACACACAGCAGGGTTAGGGGAACCCAAGGAAGAGCCTCCGGCCAGAACTGGTGGTCAACACTGGGCTACCTGGAGAGGAAGTGGTTGTCCAGCCCCCTACAGCCGCTCCATCAGAGTTAGGTGGGGGCTTACCAAGGCCTGGGGTGGGGGTCTCCCAGCACCTCAACATCCCAAGAGCCCCCAAACCAAACAGCCTCAGTGGCAGGTCTTCCTGTGTCCTCTCGGAGTCCTGAAACCAGGCTCGAGAAATATCCCAAATCCCCAGGTGGGCAGACACAAACCAGCCAGGTGATTCAGAGCTTGGGAACTCGGGGGAGGAAGCAGAGCTGGGAGAAAGCAAGAGGTCGGAACAGCTAAAACCCAGGGCCACAGAGAGAGACTCTCCGCAGCCCCAGGCAGATGGAAGCAGCAGGTGCCAGGTGCCACTTCTCAAGCAGCAAGTACCCCCAGGCTTGCATGGCCCTCGTTTCCCACCACCTCATTCCAGAACTGGTTTGGAGTTTCCTGTTGGGCCGTCCGCTCCCCACTCGGCCATCATCCCCACAGCACAGTCGGGGTGGGGGACCCGAGCGAAGCAGGGGGCAGGGGTGGAGGTCCCCGTCACAGGTGCCCAGCTTTCACAGAGGCTTTCCTCTCCAAGCCAAGGGCCCGTGCTTAGTGCTAAGGCGTGGGGTTCTAAAAGCGAAGTTCCCTTTCCCTCCCCGTCCCCCCAGCTCTGCTTTCCTCTTTTTTCATATTGCAGCTGAAATAACTTCAGTCTCAAATAAATCGCTTCGAAGGGGTTTTCGTAGCCGGCGGGCCAGGCGTTCACTCAGGAAACCGCTGGCCCCGTCCCATCTTCTCTGTAGTAGTCACACCAGCACGCGCCACGTGCGCCAGGCTTTGGGTGGCAGGTTGTCACTCAGCATCCTGCTCACCCTCTCCTAGAGGCCTCCTCCTCCACCCCTGGGGTCCAGAGTCCTGGGTGTTCTTCCCGGCTCTGCCGGCAGGTGACTGAGGGCTGACTGGGGGCCCTCAGGCCTCTGGACCTCAGCTCCCTCATCTAAATCTCAAAAGCCGCCTCCTCCCCCGCCCCCTTGAAGAAGGGCCTCCCACGGTGGCGGGAGTTTAGCTAGTGGGTCCCCGCAGTTGGGAGTTGGGGATAAAACAAGTTACATCCCCACTCTCCACGAGGCAACGGAGAGACAGGGTTTGGCCTAAACTGCATCAGCTGGAGTTTGGGTGGTAAAAGGGAGGGAGGGAGCAGTGCTGCCTCTGAGGGGGGTGTGGCTGGTGGCCCGGCCAGAGTGTGCCTGGGCTCTGGCAGGTATACAGACCTGCCAAGACGGCAGCGCTGGGCCGTGGTTCCTCTCCCAAAGACGAAGCACCCATGCTGACCCACCTATGCTGCAGTTCCATAACACCAGCTGGAGCTGACTGCTGCTGCCCGGGGACCCCCCAGCCGACGGGCAGCAGGAGCAGTCTCAGGGAGGCCATGAGTGGCCCTGAATGGTCAGGTGGGGAGCCTGGGCAGGCAGGTGCATTCCCCTCTGTCCCCAGCTCCGGGGAGCAGCCACTCACCTTGGGTCTTACGTCTCTTTCAGCCTCCGGGAGGAGTTCCTGGGACACAGCCACTGCTGCCCAATTCCATGGATCCCACGCGACAACAAGGTAGACAAGGCAGGGTGGGCCACGGGTGTGGGGGCATCAGGAGGGGCTCCCCCCCACCACCGTCTGCCTCCACCTCCTGCCACTCACGGCTTACCCGCTCTGTCACGCAGGGCACCCCAACATGGGAGGATCAATGCAGAGAATGAACCCTCCCCGAGGCATGGGGCCTATGGGGCCCGGCCCACAGGTAACTGACCGCCTGTCTGTCTGTCCATCTCCCGGCCATCTGTGTGCACCTGCCTTCTCTCCTCTTTCCAAGTCTGTTAGTCTTTCCACGTCTCGCAGCTCGGAGGGGTGAGGGGAGAGGGCGTGGCCAGGGCCCCAGCAGCCCGTTCTGCCCACAGCTGGGCAGCCCACCTGGCAGAGTTGAGGGGACCCCCAGCGAACTGGGGAAGAGGAGCATTTGGGAGCCTTCCATGGGAGGGATTTGAGGAATTTGGAAGGCAGGGGTCTATGTCCGCGAGCAGCGGTGTGGGTCCCCAAAGCTTCCTCCCACCTTTGGGAGGTAGGGTGGGCCTGAGCTGGCTCAATGGTCACAGTTTGTTGGGACCCAAGGCAGGATATTGCATTATTCTGCCTGCAACTCACCAGTTGTCTGACTTTGGATGAATCACTTTCACCTCGGTGGCCCCAGCAGGCCTCAGCGTCCCCCCCAGTCCAGTGGGGGGTGAATCTGTAGCCGTGGTTCTTGGTGGTACCACCCAGCTGCGAGGAGCCAGGCCGGCCAGGGCCCCGGCGCTCCCTTCCACTCAGAGCCTTTGCCATTTTCATGTACCAAGCTCCTGCCTAAGCTTTCTTTTGCCCAGAGGGGCTCCACTGCCAAAAAGGACAGTTTAGAAACCTCTAGAGGAAATTATCTCAAGTGCCCTGCCCACCCCTTTATAGCAGCAACACAGTGGTCGCTCCTTGGGATGCAGCTCCATACCCACAGGTCCCAGGTCCCACAGCACCATCAGGCAGGGGTCTGGCAGGCCATTCCTGTTCCAGCACCTTCTCACAGTTGGCTCCCGCTCTTCTGAGTGTTTGAACGCGGCTCTGGGTCCTGCAGGCGCCGTGGCAGAGAGTTTGTGCTCTGCCCTCCTTGGGAATTGTCTGGTATCTGACTATCTAAAGCCAGAAGTCTGAGTAAGGAGAGGGGCATTTCACAGTGAGAGCAGGAGGATTTTGTTCTAGGGTGTTCTTTCCCTTCTTTTCTGCCCTGCCTGGAGGCCTGCTTGTCTCTCCCACTCCTGCTTGTCGGTGTTGGGATGCTCTGGGCCCCTGCACAGGTTTCCGGTTCCCTGGGCGTGAGGTCATGCCCCCACTCACGCACTCATGCCTCCCTTTTGGAGGAAGAGGCGTCTGCCACACCCCACAGCCCTCCACTCTGTCTGGAATTGTATTTACAGCACACCCAGCTGCCGCGTTCTTCTCAGTGATGGCTGCAACATCTGTGGCGTTGAAAGATTTTTAGGGAGGTCCTTGTCTTTCATTGGCCCCTTAATCCTAAAAGGAAGCAAGCCCACACCAATTGCAGCTCCAGTTTTCTTTTCTTTCCTCAAATCCCCCAGAGCTTGTGTTTTCACCAGCTCCTTTTAAGCTACCAGAGTGGCCCCTTCCTGCCAGGCAGCCGGCTTGAGCTGACCTCCACAGGAACCCGTGGGAGGGGTGGCAGGGTCTGAAAGCCAAGTGTTCCCTCTCCTGAGTCAGAAACTCTCAGATTCCTCAGCCACACACTAGAGCTACTCTTGGTGTGGAAATCAGCAGTGGCCTTGGACTTCCAGGGTGTCCGTGGGGTTGGGGGGAGGGTCTAGGGGACACAAAAGGATGGAGTACTCCACCACCTGCCCCTCTTGATTCTTGGAGACTGTGCACCTGTAAAATGGGGAGGAGACCAGTACTTCCTCGTATGGTTGCTGAAAGGAGGAGGCTCAAGTTCTTGGCATGATGCTTGGCCCAGGGTAGCCTCTTAGGAAGCAGTTCGTGTTTTCCAACTTGCGGCCTTAAAACCAGTGTTCAGGACTCGAGCTGCTTGGGTTTGGTGATGGCTTCGCGTTTCTTTTTATTTTTTCTGGCAAAGGCCATTAACAGCTTTTTAAGTCTGTAGTAATACTGAGGTTCCAGAAGCTGGGAATGGATAATTATCAGACGGACCGAGGGCAGAGTGTCCCGAAGTCTAGGACTTCCTCCTGGCTTAGCGGGAGTTTCGTCATGTCCATGTCCCTGAGCAGCAGTCTGGCACGCTCTCATGGCACGTTTAAAGAGGGTGGTCCTGAAGGCCGAGGTCTTGCTGAAAAGGGCCCTCCTGGCCTCACCGAGCAGGGTACAGGGGTGGAGCTCTCGTAGGCTCGGAGGTCGGTGCCCAGAGGGGAGGCAGAGGCTAGCCCTGCGGTGAGGCCAGCTGACCCTTTCCACCCCGCCAACCTCAGGGGCTCTGAAAACATCTCTCCTTTTTTTTTTTTTTTCTTTGTTTCTGGTTTTATTGAGATATAATTAAGATACAGCACTGTGTAAGTTTAAGGTACACAGCATGATGATTTGGCTTACATACATCATGAAATGGTTACCACGATAAGTTTAGTGAACATGCATCATCTTATATTGATACAGAATTAGGAAATAGAAAAAAATGTTTTTTCCTTGTGATGAGAGCTCTTAGGATTTACTCGTAACAATTTTCATGTGTAACATAGAGCAATGCTCATTCTATTTACCGTGATGTATGTTACATCCCTAATACTTAATTATCTTGTAATTGGAAGTTTGTGCCTTTTGACTGTCTTCATCCAATCCTCCCCCCCACCTCCTCAGCCCCACCTGCTGCCAATGGTAACCGCAAATCTGATCTCTTTTTCTATGAGTTCATTTGTTTTTGAAGTACAATTGACCTACAACACTGTGTTAGTTCCTGTTACACAACATAGTGATTCAGTATTTCTGGACATTTCAAAATGATTGCCACAATAAGTCTAGTTACTATGATGTGTCACCATACAAGGATATTATATAGTTACTGACTCTGTTCCTCACACCATACATTTCATACCCATGACTCGTTTTATTTTGCAACTGGATGTTTCTACCTCTCAATCTCCTTCGCTTATTCGTTTTCTCCCCCCGCCCTCCTCCCCTCTGGCAGCCACCCATTTGTTCTCTGTATCTGTAACCACTTCTTCTGTTTTGTTACGTTTGTTCATTTGCTTTGGTTTTTAGATTCCACGTATGAATGAAATCATACAGTATTTGTCTTTCCTTATCAGACTTACTTCACTTAGCATGTTGCCCTCTAGGTCCATCCATGTTGTCACAAATGGCAAGATTTCAGTCTTTTTTATGGCTGAATGATATTCCTCTGTGTGTGTGTGTACCACATTTCCTTTATCCAAGATGAATGGATAGGTTGCTTCCCTATCTTGGCTATTGTAAAAAAAATGATGCAATGAACATAGGGGTGCATGTATCTTTTCTAATTAGTGTTTCTGTTTCCTTCCTTTCCCATATCACTTGTGCCCCTCTGGGTAGGGTGCAGTATTAAATTCCAGAGCCAAACCTCCCTTAGAGCAACCTGGATGTCCTCACCAGCCCCTCACTGGGGGCAGAAAGACCTGGCCTTGAGTGAGCCTGGGCCTGGGCAAGATTGGGGTATGAGATGGATTGCAGGTTCTGGGGTCAGCCAAGGAGTGGGCATCGTAGAGCCTGGAAGTTTTAGACCCCCAAGCTGAGGGTAGGAAGAGGACAGGATCTACCCCCCAAGCCCTTTCTCTCTGTCCCCTGAGGGTGCTGCCCTGATCACTCAGAGTGGACAGGAGAGGGGTGAGTTTAGTGCTAGGAACACTGTCCTGGCCTCACCTCAGCCTATTTGGGCCTCCAGTCCCTCATCTGCAAAATGGGTGTCCGGGTGATGACCTCACAGGGCTCATCGTGGGGCTGCGTGAAGCAACAGCTGTGAGACAGACCGCAGCACAAGGCTCCGCAAAGCATTGCACGGATCCCATTCCCTCCTTAGAACCTGGGCCCAGGGAGGGAGCCCTGTCTCTGCCATGCCTGGACTGTTAAGAAAAGTGACCAAGCCCCTTCAGGCAGTCTTTAGTAAGCACCACTGCATGCACAGGGCCGTGCTGAGACTGGACACAGAGGTGGGAAACCTTCAGCCTTTTATTCCAAGTGGAGAATAACATTCCTAATAGTGGGACCACTCTAGAACTTTCTGAACAAAGAGTAGGTACAGTGTGGTCTTGGGGCTACTTTATAGGTTTCAAAACCGAATGGAGTAACATCATACTTTCTTAGGTTGTGTATCATTTTGGCCTAAATGTCACAAAGGAACCAGCAAGCTAGGCATCACCCTGCCCTTTGCCCTCAGTTCCTCAGGCAGATTTTATTCTGGTTTTGTGAAGCAGCCAGTGGTGAAAAGGAGGTAGCATTTCCACTTAATTGTATTCTCTCTTTAATGAATTATGCCTGTGCCTGTGTCAGCTGAGAACTTCTGGCTCAGTTTTTCAAAAGCGAATCCTGTTGGGGTGAGGCTGAAGCTGGCGGGGCTCTGAAGGCTCCCGCGGACGCCACTTGCAGCGCGTCTGGGATTCCGGTTGGGGTGGGGTCAGGACAGCCTAGAATCAGATCGCCATCCTGGCTTGTCTGCATTTGAGAACGTTCAGCTGAAGGATAACCCACCATCCCTAGAGACAGTCCTGTGCCACCAGGAGAAGCTGCATCTCCCCACTGAGCCAGGACAGTCCAAGCTCAGTGCCTCTGAGCAGAGACCCCAGAAGGAGATGGAAGGATCATAAACCAGGCCAGGGCACCCTGGGCTGGTGAGGAGAGAGGGGAGCCGCTTCAGGCACTTTTCCCGGTGGCTCTTCGGAGACCTCCCAGTGGGGCTGGCCAGGCTGCTACATGATTAGAGGTGGTGGAGGGCCGGCCCAAAGCCCAGGAAACTGCCCAGCAACCTGGAGACCCCTTTGACAGGTCTGTCCTAAAGACTATTCTTTGGGGCCCCAGGCAACATCAAAAAAGAGCCCCTGAGCCAAGGAGTTGCAGGAAGCAGAAGCAGGCCCCAGCCCCTGCCAGCTGCCTTTCTGCATCACCGTGGACCTTGCCCAAGAGCGCAGAACTGAGACCAAGAGGGTGGGGCCTGACCCTTTATAGTTCCTGACCATGGATCAGCCCCCCTGCCCAGAGTCTGGGGGCGCCCTCATCGGGACAAGGTTTGGATGTGGGGAGGTAGACAGACACACACATGCACACACCCCTGTGGATTTGGCTGGCTCCATGGCTGCACCAAGGACTCCTCCCAGGTCTCCAGCTGACCCGTCCCTGCAGAGTAGTGCTGAGGACAGAGGAAGAGGGGGTGTCTGGCTATGGCCACACCTCAGAACCCAGTGCTGCAGGCAGGTGGGCACTGGGAGAAGAGAGAACCATTTCTACTGAGTCTGTGAAGCTGTGCTTCTAAGCCCTCCCCTCCTCTGTGAAAAGGCCAGGGTCTCTGATTTGAAAACTTGCCTCCAAAACCTGACTTTCAGCCTTACTTTCACCCCTGATTTACTGTATGGCCTTGGGCGAGTCTTTGGCTTCTCTGGGCCTCCAGCTTGCCAGCTGTGAAGTGGGGGCATGTAAGTGGCCATCGGGGTCTGGGCCTCTGCAGGAGGGAGGACCTGGCAGGCCTGCTCCCTCCTGGGCAGCGGCCGTGCTGGCTTTCGGGAGGCTCCTGAGGGGGTCGGGTTAGGGCAGCAGGTGGTGCACCCGGAGCCTCCCCTGAGGGGCTGCATGTCCAGACGTCTTTCAGGAGTGAGCACCCTGCTTAATCTCCTCACCGCACTCTGCTGCCACGTCCTGGGCTCCCGCCGGCCCCCAGGCCAGCCTTCCACTCCATCCCCACAGTGCCGGCAGCTCTCCTGGGTGTGAGAGAGTGTAGGATGCAGCTGCAGCCCCTGGAGGAGATCTCACTCTCTATCTGGAAGACCTTTCTGATTGGCCAGGCTGCGCACAGTGGAAGGGTGGGCTGCTTGGGGAGGTGGTGAGCTTCCCGTTCTGGAGCAGCGGAAGCGAGGCTGAGATTTGTACAGGGGATTTAGTAAGTGCACGTGGGCTTAGAAAGGGCCCTTTAAGACCTCATGCTTAAGGCAGCATTAAAGGCTTTGGCGTTCGCTCTGCTAACATCCCAAGTCAGTACACACCTCTGATGGCTGAGGGAGCACTTCAGAGCCATCATTTCATTTGGTCCTCACATGGCCCTGTAAGGGTGGGGGCTCTTTGTCCCCATCTTATGGGCGAGGCAGCACGGTGGAGGGGTTGCAGCTCTGAAGCCATGATCATAGCTGCATGAGGGGCCATCACTCTGCTTCTGCACCTCAGTGTCTTAATCTTTAAAGTGGGGATAGTAGTGAGGTTGTGGTGGTTAAATGTAGGTGATACTAAGCCCGTAGCACAGCCTGGCTCTTTGTTATTGTTATTTTTGTGGTTTGCCCAGAGTCAGGCTGTGCTGGGGCAGGCTCTCCGTGTTCTGACCTCAAATCCGTGGCTCTGCTCACCACGCGTGGCATTGTCCGTAGGGAGCGACTGGCCCCTTTGTTCACTGATCTTGTGGCATATTTGCTCCAGGGCAGGTGAGTGTCTTCCGGCCCAGGGACTCAGCCCTGAGCAGGCACGGAGGATGCCGGCTACCGGAGGAGTCCTCCACGGCTGCCCTCTTCTCCCTCCCCCGACTGCAGGCCTTGCTGTCTGCCAGCCAGCCTGGCGCTGCTGCAGTCATTGTGCACACCCTGTCTGGACACTCTCACTCCAAACTCCTCTTTGGGTGACCAAGCCAAGGAGGTGGTCCCGAGATGGTCCCTGGCTGGAGAACCTGCCACCAGCCTGATGGCGGCTCTGTTTGTCAGCTCTGGCCCTTGAGCCTCCTCTTGTGTCCCCACTCCCACCCTCCTCCCCACCTCCCAGATGTGTGGTGTAGAGAGCAGACCCTGAGGCTCGCAGATCCAGGATTAAACCCCAGTAGAGACATTAGCTGACTGTGAACTTGGGCACATCTTTCTCCCCCCAGACCCTCAGTCTCCTCTTCTATAAAATGGGAATAATACCAGCTTCATGGCATCGTTACGAGGTCCAAACCAGAGACTGTATGTGTTCTGTGCTCAGTAAAAAGCGGCCAATGCTGGCTGTTCCTTTGCCATCAAAATTCCACCAACCTACTGCTTTCTCCTACAAAGGCAGAGCTCAGGCTACAACCAGCCTCATGTTAATTTCCATTCATTCACTTCTTCACTCCATTGATGATTCAGCGCCCAGTCTGTGCCAGCTGATGTGTGCAGTGACGGGGGATATGAAGATTAGTAAGATAGAGTTCCCGCCTTCCAAAGGGGTTCAGAGTCCAGTGGGAGAGATGGACATGTGGCCACAATCATAAGCCAGAGTGCTGCAGGCCGTTGGGGGAGGACATTACAAGGCACTCTGGGAGTGACTAGGATGGAGCAGTTAACCCCACGGGATGGAGCAGGGAAGGCCTCACAGGGTAGGCGCTGTTTGAGCTGGGTATTGGAGGATGTGTAGGAGCCTGCCAAGTGCAGAAGGGAGGCAGGATATTTATTCCTGCGAAGAAAGTAGCTCTGGAAGAGGGGAGTCGGAGAGCAGTGGTGAAGGAGATGAGCCGGGTGAAAGGCCTGGGTGCCTGGTTCAGTTGCTCTGACCCATTCCACTGCCATGGTGGGTTGTGCCGAGCTGAGTTGGGACTCCTGCAAGTTTCCAAGTTTTGTGTAGACTCTTCTCTTAAATGGAACAGTGATTCCCTTGAGCAGGGAGACAGAGTTTTCCTCCTGCTCCTCCAGTACTGTTCCTGTTGAGGGCCGCACGTGCTGACACCTGCATCGGGTGACGATATGGAGGGACAGCCCAGACCCGGGGCAGGGTGGGGTCTGCAGACGCCCGGCCGCGGGACAGGCCTTTTGGGAGTGTGCCTCCCCTTCCATGTGCAGACTCAGCCCTGCCTCCAGCCTGCTGGCCGTTGCTTCTCCCCATATTTCTAAGGTGGGTGGTGGTCACCAGCTGGTCCTATTACTGAGTCTCTTCCCCTTTCCTGCCTGAGACCTGAGGGCAGGTGCCAGCCAGCATCATGAGCTCCTTCCTGGATGCCCGTGTGCTTTCGAGAGACCCATCCTGAAGCCCCTGAAGATGCCTTTAAAGCTGGGACTGTCCCTCTGTGCTGGCTTGTCATTGTGGTCCTGTCAGTTGGTTCCCACCCAGCATTTTTTTTTTTTTTTTTTTCTTT